AAACGCTTACCTAAAGACTCATTAATGTAAATATTATTAAGCCTTATATTCCCATAGCATATCGAATTTATTTACTCCAGAAAAAAAGAGTAATTTGCAATTTCTCTATGTGATGTTTTCGATATCAATCTCTAAATCAACTTAAGCAACCTATGGTCTTTAAGTTCTGATCCAATTTCTTTTTTGTGCTAGGGTTACATTCCAACCAACGAAGACATTGTCTGGTCGCGCCGGCCCACTGATTCTATCATTGAGGAGGAAATTGCGCTTCACGGTACTAGGCTCGTTTTTATCGACGTGGGTGGACAGACGAAGGAACGCCGCAAGTGGTGCCAGTGCTTTACCGGCATGACCTCCGTTCTTTTCCTCGTCGCATGTAGTCATTTTGATGAACATTACCGGGATCGATTGACTCGGGAATTTCGCAATAAGCTTCATGAGTCTATGATAATTTTTAATGGGCTCATCAACCACGTTGCCTTCAGGAGGGTCTCAGTCATAATTTTCTTCAACAAAACAGACATCCTTAAAGAGAAAGTGGCTTCCAGAACCTCTAATATTAGGGACACATTCCCGAATTTCCCCCAAAGCTACGACCCATTCAAACTACATGATGTCCAGGTGACCTTTTATATACATTCTATTTTGATGTACATTCGACCCCTCAGGGGGGTTTTAACTATCTACAGTCATAAAGTTTTCTTAAGACAATATGCTTGCATACTGCTGGCTTTGTTTAGGTTAAATGTTGAACCACAAACGTTTGTGGGTTGGCACACAAGAGACTAGGGCATAGCAAGTTATAGACTTGGTATTAGAGATAGAAAGAGGGTAGAAACAGTGGAAGCTAGATCTAGTCGGCTAACAATAGTCGTGATTCAAGGATCACGTTTAAGATTAAACACGTCTATTGTTAGCCAAATAGCTTTACTCTTTCCTGTTTATATATGTAATACCATGTGCATCGCTTCCTACGTCCTAGTCTGGTGTGTGCCAACCCAAAAATGTCGTGGTTCTACTCGTTTTGATAAGTCTCACTAATGACGTCTCCTCTTTGCTTCTGATTCTTTCTTTCTCATCCCCTTGCGATCTTTTTTCCTAAAATCAAGGATACTATATTGTTCCAGTCGTCTTCTTTTTGCTGATCTTCCTGTTGCCTGGTCTTCTCCTAGTTTGTTTAGGCA